GAGAGAGAGAGAGAGAGAGAGAGAGAGAGAGAGAGAGAGAGAGAGAGAGAGAGAGACGTGCAGAATCTTCGGCGGCTGGACGTCCAGCAGGCACGGCGGAAGGAGCGGCAGGAGGACGGCAGCCAGGTCACCAGCAGCAGCTGCTGCCACTTTATCAACTGCAGCAGCTGCCACGTCATCAGCTGGACCAGCTGCCACGTCATCAGCCGCAGCAGCTGCCACATCAGCAGTCGCAGTAGCTTCCACATCAGCAGTCGCAGCAGCTGCCACATCAGCAGCCGCAGTCGCTGCCACGTTAGCAGGTGAAGGAGTTGCAGGGCCTGCCACAGCAGCAGCAACAGCTGCCATGTAAAGTACGGCCATCGCAGCAGGAACTGACTGCCACATATAAGCAGCGGGCACATCAGCAGTAGCCACGTTAGCACCCGCCACGTCAGCACCTGCCACATCAGCAGCCGGCACATCAGAATCTACCACGTCACGACCCGGCACATCAAGTGCTGCTGCAAGTTTTTCGACAATTCACATGACAAGCAGCAATGCCCCGGGGGGGGGGCGGGCAACGGGAGCCGTTCATGGTGGATCCCAAGTTCAGGGGAGACCACTGTGTGTGGACATGGGTGGAGGCTGGTCAGGTCTTGGTTGGGAATTCCAAGGGGCAAAGAAGGCTGCGTTGCCGGTTGTGCCAGCGCGAGTGGAGCGGCACACGGAAACGGGCATGTGAGCACTTCACTTTCAAGAGGGAATCCTCCAGGTGTCCTCACGACACTGTGGCCATTTGGAGGAGATTGCACAGCGCTGGTTGGGAGTTGCCTCCGCACCTGCTGGAGAGGGTGCAGTGTGCGATAGAGGAGAACAGCGAATCTGATCATGATGCAGATGTGTAGGACATTGCAGAGGTTGGTGGAGGAGGTGCCGGGATTGGAGGACACTCTGACGACAAAGTTCGTGGGCAGACCGACAGTGGACCACGATCGGTGGCCATTGGCGGATCAGGCGGGTTGCGGCCTGCGATGCAGCAGGCCATGGGAGCAGGCTGTTCGCATCCATTGCAGCACGAGGCCCGAGTTCGTGGACCGACGAAACAGACATCAATCGCGAGGTACACGAAGAACCCACGACAGGAGGAGATCGATGACTCAGCCAACGAGTTTTTCGTCGAGAATGCCATCCCCTTCAATGTCGCGAAGAGCAGGAGTTTCAAGAAGTTCCAGTTGACATGTTACGGTCCACAGCCTGCAGTGAGCAAACCACTTGTGCCCACTAGCTACAATCCATTGAGGTGTCGGCTGCTCGATCGGTTGCGCAGCAAGTTGGAGAAGAAGGAGCAAGTGATCCGAGATGACTGGGAGGTGACAGGGTGCACTTTCATCACCGATGACACCACATACATCTGTGGGCGATCGTTGATGAACTACATCCTCGCAGGATGTTTGAAGCCTGTTTTCGTCAAGTGTGAGGATGTGAGCGTCAGGGACAAGGATGCACCTGCTGTTGTTGCGGGGTGGAAGCAGTTCTTCAGGGAGTTTGGCGTGGAGAAGATCACAACGATCTGCACCGACTCGTTGGCGGGGAACAAGAGTGTAGCCAGGATGTTATGGGAGGATCCAGAGTTAAGTCAAATTTACTGGATCCCTTGCACAGCCCACTGTATGGACCTACTCCTGCACGACATTTGCGGCAAGACATGGGCGGCTGAGGTCATCGACAGGGCGAACAAGGTCGTCAACTTCTTCAGGGTTCATAGGTAGCCACGTTCACACCTGAGAACACACTTGATAAAGTACCCAGAGTTGAAGGCCACCTGTCTCCTTCGGCCAGCATCGATGAGGTTCAGGACCCACTACGTGATGCTGCACAGACTTCAGGTGTGCGAGACGGTGTTGGTGCGTATTGTGACTGGGTGCCCCTGGGAGAGCATGGTGTGGCGAGGAGAAATCAGAGTAAAAGCATACGTAGTTGAGGAGTTCATTCTTGACAAAGCCTTTTGGGTTGACGTCAAGAAGTTGATAGCCCTGATGAAGGGCCCGTACGATGCGTTGCGAGAGGTGGACAAGGACGCCCATTGCTTGTCACGCATCTACAACATGGCTTCTCGGCTGCGGGGCATCGTTCGCTCTGCCCGCGTTACTGCAGATGAGCAGGATGCTGTCCTCCATAATGTCGGCAAGAGGACTGACATGCTTCTCAGCCCCATACACGTTGTGACACGACTGCAGGATCCTCAGTTGAGGGACATTGCAGTCTTCAGCAACGTTGAGCTCATGGCGCAGTTCAACAGTGTTATTGAGCGGCTGATCGGCAAGAAGGGGTCGAAGAGGTTCGATGACTGCAAGGACCAGTTGTACGACTTCCAGTTTGGGAGAGGACTCTTTGGCGACCCGGCAGTGTTGAGGAGGGCAGCAAAGGACAACCCTGTGTTGTGGTGGGAGGCGCATGGTGTTGGGCATCCAAAGATCAGGGAGTTGGCAATCAGGGTCCTTTCCATCTGGATGACATCCTCTGCGGCTGAGAGGAATTGGAGCACCTGGGCTCTCGTGCGGACGAAGTCCAGGAACAAGTTGCACCACGAGCGCACTGAGAAGCTGGTCTATTCGCATTGGAGCCTGAGGCTCAAGAGCAAGGGGGAAGGATGGTCCCACCATAGCAGGAGGGTGGTTGGGGTTGGAAAAGGATTGGGTGGACGAGTACTTGGAGGGTGACATGGCGAATGTCACTGACGCCGTTGACGATGGTGAGGCCGGTGGAACAGCCGCTGGTTCTGCTGCAGGCAGCACCAACATTGCCCGTGCTCCATCTACTACAAGGTCGGCATCTGTGCACAGGTTGGGGGAGATGGAGGAGGTTGCGGAGGGGGACGAGGTTGAGGATGATGCGGGTGAGGAGGATGAGAGTGACGAGGACAAGGACGACGTTCCCGGTGAGGAGTGGGTGGACGAGAGGTCGGACTCTGATAGATTGTGGACGAGGAGGGAGGAGATCCTTCCGTATGTGTCGGGCACACGCTTCAGTGATCGATTGAGAGACCAGCGTGCACAAAGGGAGCAGCAGGGGCATCATGAGGAGGACCATCCGTTGGAGGAGTACCTGTTGGAGCACCAGCAGGAGGAGGAGCAGTCGCAGGAGCGGCAGCAGGAGGAGCACCCTCAGGACGAGGAGGAGCACCCTAGGACGAGGAGCAGCAGCAACAAGACGAGCAGCAACCGCAGTGGGAGCACCAGCAGCAGGAGGAGGAGCAGCAGCAGCAGCAGCAGGAGGAGCACCAGCAGCAGGAGGGGGAGGAGCAGCAGCAGCCGGAGGGGGAGGCAGAGGATGAGCACCAACAACAGGAGGGGGAGGAGCACCAACAGCTAGAGCCCGAGGGCGAGCAGGGGTGGAAGCAGGTGGATGCATTCTACGGTCCTGGACGACCTTCACAGCTGCTCGGCCGCCATGGAGCACATCCCGGGACTGTATGGGATCCTCTTGCGTATCGAGGTGGACGAGGTGGACGCGGCAGACGTGGCAGAGGTCTCCCACCTTCTGCACGAGGGCGGCAGCCTGCCACACGCGGAAGAGGGCGCCCCAAGTTAGTAAGACCACGAGAGACACAACCATCTTCCGATCCTGCAGAGGAGGAGTCTGATGATGACTCTCGTGAGAGTGCTCCTCTGTGCAAGAGGAAGAGGTAGAGGACAGTGCCTGATGAGGAGGAAAGAGAGACACATTGAGAGAGAGAGAGAGAGAGAGAGAGAGAGAGAGAGAGAGAGCGAGAGAGAGAGAGAGAGAGAGAGATGGATGGGTGGACTCTTGTGTTCCTCTTTCAAGGAAGCATGTTCTTGAGTACCTCTGCAGCGTGAATCGTCTTTGTCTTTGCATGTAGTCCCTTCCGCAATATCGTGCATAGACATGAATGTTATGCACAGTCTGTGTATGCGTGTGTGTGTGTGGGTGGGTAGGTGGGTGTAAGTGTTTGTGTTTGTGTGTGTATGTGTGTGTGTTTGAGAGTGAGTGTGAGTGTGTGTGAGTGTGTGAGAGTGTGTGTGTGTGTGTGTGTGTGTGTCACAGTCTGTTGGGCAGCACACAGACTGTCAAAGTCTGGTGGGCAGCACACACAGAGTGTGACAGAGTCTGTGTGCCCCTACCAGATAGACTCTGTCACAGTCAGTGTGCTGCCCAACAGACTGTGACAGGTTGTCGGTCACACAGTCTGTGTATGCGTGTGTGTGTGTGGGTAGGTAGGTGGGTGTAAGTGTTTGTGTTTGTGTGTGTGTTTGAGAGTGAGTGTGAGTGTATGTGAGTGTGAGTGTGTGTTCGTGTATGTGTGTGTGTGTGTGTGTGCTGGGCAGCACACAGACTGTCACAGTCTGGTGGGCAGCACACACAGAGTGTGACAGAGTCTGTGTGCCCCTACCGGASAGACTCTGTCACAGTCTGTGTGCTGCCCAACAGACTGTGACAGACTGTCGGTCACACAGTCTGTGTATGCATGTGTGTGTGTGGGTGGGTAGGTAGGTATAAGTGTTTGTGTTTGTGTGTGTATGTGTGTGTGTCTGAGAGTGAGTGTGTGGAGTGGGAGTGTGTGTGTGTGTGTGTGTATGTCACAGTATGTGTGTGTGTGTGTGTGTGTGTGTCTGTGTGCTGGGCAGCACATAGACTGTCACAGTCTGGTGGGCAGCACACACAGAGTGTGACAGAGTCTGTGTGCCCCTACCGGACAGACTCTGTCACATTCTGTGTGCTGCCCAACAGATTGTGACAGACTGTCGGTCACACAGACTGTGACAGAGTCTGTCACACAGGCTGCCGCAAACTCTGTGTGAGCTGGCCCCCACCGATCTGTATGACCGACAGTCTTTCACAGTCGGGTGAGCAGCACACACAAAGTGTGACAGAGTCTGTGTGACCGTAGTGGACAGACTCTGTCACAGTCTGTGTGCTGCCCAGCAGATTGTGATAGACTGTGACAGAGTGTTTGCCCACCAGTGTGTGTGTGTGTGTGTGTGTGTG